AAAAAAAAAAAAAAAAAAAAAAAAAAAAAAAAAAAGAAATGAGTATATTGTAGAACTTCTAATTTTTCAAAAAAAGAAAAAAAACAAAGAGTATGTATTTTATCAACTCAATGTACAAAGTAAGAAAAACCATCAACAGCTCAAAGCATTCTAAACCAAAGGGCAAACTCAATAGCATCGAGGATTAATTTTTAAGAACATAGTTGAATCTAAAAAAACTTCATTCATTTTACTTTCAAATTGTGTAAATCTATAGAAAGGTTTTAGCCAGTCTGTCTTCATTTTAGTTATGTCAAATGTTGGTTATGAGCTTCCCCATTTATTAGTCAATAATCTGTACTTTTTATGAAAATCCCGAAATGAGAATTTTTACAAGTTTAAAACATTTTTAGGAAATTAAAACAATGAAACTTTAGAATGAAAAAAATAGGGAGCTAGTGATGCTGCTACTTATATAAAGCATTAATAGCAACTCAAGATTTTATTAATTTTTTTTAACTTTGGATCACTTAAAAGCAACTCAAGATTTTGAACTGACTATACAGAAAATATTTCCACTTTCTGATGTTAACCATGAAATATAGAATTTGTAAAAAGAAAGTTTCCTGATAAAGCTAAATGCAATCTCTATTCTAAAACACTCAAACACTCAAATGATGTAGGTATATAATGCTTTAGGTGGTCCTCAAATCCAACCATGCACAATTTTTCTCTTTCACTGATAAACATTTTATATATATATGTACAAGTTTTTGAGCACATGTTTGAATGCTCCAGGACAGACACTTGGACATGAAATTACTGTGTAGAAAAATATAAGCAATTGAAAATTTTGATAAATGTTTTAAAATTAGTGTCCAGGATGGTAGCATATGAGAAAACTATTCTCCCATGTTCCAGCTTAACACAACCGGATTAAAAATGTTCTGCCAAATAAATGGAACTTTTAATATGCATTTACATGATTACTAGGGAAGCTGAATATATCTTTTTGCATATTTATTGACCATTTTTATTTCTACTATGAGAACTGCTGTTTATATCCGTTGCCTGTTTTACTACTAAGTCTTTTTCTTATTGATTTATAAGCGTTCCTCATTTTTGAGTATTCATCTTTAGCCTGTTATATACCTATTTTTCTTAGTCTGTCATTTATATCTTTTAATTTTATCTGTGTGTTTTAACATGAACGCTTTTCATGAAGAGCATTAATATTCTGATCACAAGAAAGTACCAGATTTATAAAAGCTATTTTATCAACTCTAAGAAAACTAAATCTTACCCAATCTCAGATAAAACCCTAAGGTCAGCTGGGTATGGTGGCTCACGTCTGTAATCCTAGCACTTAATTTATTTATCCAAAGCTGAGGCGGGGGGATTACGAGGTCAGGATTTTGAGATCAGCCTAATCAACACAGTGAAACCCTGTCTTTACTAAAAATACAAAAATTAGAAGGGCATGGTGTTACATGCCTATAATCCCAGCTACTCAAGAGGCTAAAGCAGGAGAATCGCCTGAACCTGGGAGGCAGAGGTTGCAGTGAGCCAAGATCACGCCAC